TAGAAAGCATCCCTAGCTCAGGGGCAGCATTATATGCAAGTAAGTAAGCACTTTTGACTGAAAAGTTACCATATTTGTCATGGTGCCACACAAGAGAGTCAACACAAGCTCCAGTTGGGATTTTAAGAATTTCCCTACTCACTTGATTACTAAAGCTAGCATTTAATTTGGCAATATCCCATCCCCCCTTATCATCAAGTAGCTCACATACATAAGAGAACACATAATGAGTTTCGGAGGGAGAGTTCACCTTAAAACTAGGCAAAGTGGGGACCCAGTTGTCTTGGTAAATCAGGATATTTTGACCATTCCCAACATTCCATCTCATTCCGATTTGAACAATGTCTCTTCCTTTTAGAATGCTTGACCATGCCCAAGAGGGATGACTTCCTTTCCTGGCTGTCAAAAAGAAAGAGTTTGGGAAGTATAAGCTTTTTAAGACACGTACCCATAATGCATTAGGATTTTGCAATAATCTCCAAGCCTAGCGGGCTAACATTGCAAGATTAAAACAATAAAGGTCTTTGAACCCCATACCTCCCACATGTTTGCTTTTCGAGAGTTGGTTCCAACTAACCCAGCATAATTTCCTTCCATCATTTTGTTGACCCCACCAAAATTCCCTGATGATCTTATTAATATCTTGGCAGACACCTGTAGGGAATAATAAACACGACATGGTAAAGGTTGGGATAGCCATGGCAACAGCTTTAATTAGAATTTCTCGCCCTGCTTGCGATAGCAAACTTTTTTTCCATTGGGTGAGTTTCTTTTGGATGTTGTCGACCACATAATTTAAACAATTCTTTTTGGATTTGCCACATGAAGTTGGAACACCCAGGTACTTAGTAAAAGCAGAATCAGTTTTGATCCCGAGTTTATGACAAAGAAGATGCCGTACCTCATAGGGAGTGTTTGAACTGAAAATTGCAACTGATTTTGAGAAATTAACTCTTTGGCCAGATACATCTCCATAGACTTGCAAAATGGTTTGTAATTGGTTGACCTCCTCCATTGTAGCCCGACAGAATATTAGGGAGTCATCTACAAAGAGAAGATGGCTAATAGTAGGGCTTCGTCTTCTGATCTTATAGCCACTGATTTTCTTTGCAGAAGTAGCTATCATTAACAACCAAGATAAGATATTAGCTATAAAAAGATAAAGATATGGGGATAATGGGTCTCCTTGTCTGAGTCCTCGTCTAGGGCTGAAGAAAGGAGTATGATGACCATTAATACCCACAGTATATGACACAGTTGAAACACATTGCATCACCATATGGATCCATTTTTCACAGAAGCCATGAGCTCTCATAATGTTTTCCAAGCAATGCCAGTCAACATTATCGTAAGCTTTCTGAATGTCTAATTTTAATGCAATAACACCATGTTTACCTGACTTTTTCAGATGTAAGCCATGGAAAGCTTCATGTGCAATTAGAATGTTGTCTTGAATGGTTCTCCCCGAAACAAAAGTAGACTGAAAAGGAGAGATAAGGTCATCAAGATAAACTTTGAGACAATTAGCAAGTATTTTTGCAATAACTTTGTAAGTAAAATTGCATAGAGAAATGGGTCGATATTGTGATATCAACTCAGGATTCTTGACCTTAAGGATAAGTATCAGTTTGGTTTTTTTCATCTTTCTTAGCATGAAGCCATTAGTGAAAAAGTGCTGCACCGCCTTGCAAACGTCTGAGCCAACTATATCCCAGTGCTTCTGGAAAAAACATCCTGGGAAGCCATCAACTCCTGGGGCTTTAAATGCGCCCATTTGGAATACCGTAGTTTTTACTTCCTCATCAGAGACATGGCGACATAGATCTACATTCATTTCAGCAGTTACCAAAGGTCGGATAAGCCCCTCAATCTGGGTAAAATTGCAATTTTCTTGGGAGGCATAGGCTTGTTGAAAGTGAGTATAAGCATGGGCCAGAATAGAGTCAGTACCTTCCAACAGTATACCTTGATCATTCTTCAATTGGAATATATAATTATTCTGTCTTCTTCGAGATGCAGTGGCATGAAAATACTTGGAATTCCCATCGCCAAGGAGCATCCAATTGGTGTGGGCTCTTTGAAACCAGTATGCTTCTTCCTGTGACCATAGGACGTTAATTTCATCGACAAGGAGCCGTTGTCTTGTCAAATTTGTTTCTGACTGTTCTTCCAATTGCAATTCATCTAGCTCTTTTTGTAAACGCCCCATCGCATGGCGAGGATTTCCTATAGTATGCTTGCACCAATTGAGCAGATGTTTTTTACAATGAGAGATTTTGGAGGCCATGCAGTAGAGAGGGGGGCCAGATTGGTCTGTTGCCCAACCATGAGAAACTACTCCTTCATAATCCTTATGCTGTTGCCAAGTGAGCTCATAACGAAATTGTCGCTTGGGGAGCACAGGAATAGCTTTTAAACATAGTAAAAATGGGCAATGATCAGAGCCAATTCTGGTGCAATGAAACAATTGAGCATTAAGATAGAGTTGACCCCATCGATCATTAATCAACACACGGCAAGTCTTTAAAAAATGGCTCCTCTTGACCATGTGTATTTGGCTCCTTTGTATGCAATTTCCCTGAGCAAACCTGAGCTGGTTAACTCCTCTAACAACCTTCTATCTGTGACCAAGGGTGGGTGTTTTCCTTTTTTATCATAGTTGTCCCCTACCAGATTAAGGTCCCCCATTACCAGCCAGGGAATTTCTAGAGGGTGCCGCACATTCATCACTCTACTCCAAATAGTTCTTCGAAGTTGGGTATTAGGTTCCCCATAGATAAAAGAGAAATGCCAAGTAACATTATAGTTTGCATCAGAGCAGTTTCCATCTACCATATTTTTGTCGGAGGAGAAAATTGAGATATGAACTTCATCTGTCCACCACAAGGCTAGACCCCCTGAATAGCCTTGTGGATCTACATACACTCTAGTAGAAAATGAGAGTCTCTTTCGTAACCATTCCAAATACCTCCTATTCTTTTTAGTCTCCATCAAAAAAACTAAGCAAGGGCGATGTTTAAAGATAAGATCTTTTAGCACTCTTCTTGTCAAGGCTTGCCCAAGGCCTTGACAATTCCAAGAAAGAATGTTCATGTTGGTGAGGGTAGCTTCCAAGGGGCAGCCACCGAAGCCCCATCAGTGTCTTGAGTGTTGAAAAATTGCTCAGTTTCAGTTGATGGAGAATCACGAAAGTGTGTGGAGGTAGAACCCGGAAATGTGTTGACAAGAGGAGCCACGAGAATGAAAGAGGGGTCATTGAAGGAGAGTTGCGTGGGATGAAAATCTTGGAATATGAGATATCTAGCATCCGGCTGGAACCTTACTTGGCGAGCAAGAGCTTTCTGCTGAATTCTTCTTCGAACCTTTCTCACGGTGATAGTCTCATCAACATCCGTGAAGAAATCGAGCTGGTCTTGAACATGGAAATCAGATCTATCCTGGGCTAAAGCTTGTTGTAATTGATTGGGGGAACATTGGAGTCCAGAAGCCTCAGTATCTCTAATACAAGCCCGTTTAAATATTTGCTCAAATGGGCCAAATTCAGTTTTTCGTTTTGTCCCACGGTTTGTCGGCCTTCCCAGTGATAAATGGGTCTCTATTTGCTCAGAAAGTAAGAGGCCCATTTCAAAATCCATACAAGGCATCTCAAGCTCTGTTTGGATAGTAGCAGTAGGTAGTTGGAGCCTAGGTAGCTGGTTCAAGGTGCTTGAAGTGTCTAGAGGCTGAGCAGATAAAAAAGCTTGTTCACTGGTCTCCATCGCATTTAATGGAGAGGTGTGCTGCATTGGAGTGACAATAGATGGCGATAAGGATCCTGATCTCCCAGCTGGACGAGTAATGATGCCTCTATGGGAAAGATCACCCTCCATTAAAGCAGTGGGCGGCTTTTGTGGTGAGTATTGATTCACGCACCTTTCTACAGCTGCTTCTTCACTGTGCATTTCAGAGCCGTCCACGTCATGGATTGCTTTTGGAGCTACACCCATTGTTGCGACCGTTACCGGCTTTCCTTCGTCTCACTGGGGTTGTGGTCTCATGGCCGGAGCTTCAGCATTCACCCGGAGAGTATGTTTTGCCTCATGAATGGAGCCAAAGTGCTTCCTCGGAGAGTAAGTTGGAGCCCTCATATGTGGACCATATTGAGGTCGAGATTGAGTGATATAGTTTCCATCTTCGTCTGTTCATCTAAAATCAGTGCAGGTTTTTTTGGTATGTCTTAACATGCCACATCTATAGTAGAAAATCAACTAATTTTTCATATTTAAATTCAACTGAGCAAACTTCATCCTCCTACGTGCAGAACTGAAAACTTGATAGAAGGGGAATATGAACATCTATCTCGACCCGTAACTGCAGAAAACTCTCCACGCCTCCCATGACAGATTTGTCCCAAGAAATTAAATGGGGAAATAGGAAGCCAATGATTTGAATATTTTTAGGAGTCATACAGCCTTTTGGTAATCCATGGACTTGTACCCAAAAAGCTGAGTGTGAAAAGGTAATTTCATCAAATCTCTGTGAGTCAGGCCAGTCCTTGAGGATGATGTGGGATCCCTTCACAAACCAAGGAGACTCTCGGAAGATGCGGTCTTTCTCCTTTTCATCCGAAAGGATAAAAATAAATGTGTTCTTTGATTGCTCATGGACTTCTAATCCTCCACTCGGTTTCCATGCGCTTTTCAAAATGCTATACACGAGTCCGCTTTTAATGTGGTCTTCATCAGCCAGTAAATGACCAGCAAAGGAGAATCTGTGAAGCTCGTCTTGGTCCTCTGTTTTTGTAGTTAGGCATAGTACTGAGGGATCTAGCACCTTATTGTTACCCCCAAAACTTAATGGTTGGTCATTAAGCATCAATTCCCAACAGCCAGGTTCAGGTGGTAGGTAGGAATAAATACAGCAAATAAAAGCACAAACAGATACTGTACAAGTACAATATTTATAGAGCCAAAAATTATTTATACAGAGCACAGCAGGGGCCTAAGATGAAAAACACTGCGATGAGACTACAGAAGGTAAGTGGTCGTAGGTATAGGAGATGACAAGTCTGCTAAAATTGAAACACAACCGTGAAACTGCAGAAGCTATAGCCAAAAGTATGGATGGGGAAAGAAAGAAAACCTGAAGGTAACACCTCAGGAGAACAGCAAAGTGGGAAACCCTAGAGAGAGAAGCTCCTAGAAACGGTTCCACCTTAACAGATCCTTACCAATTAGTTGACTGAAACTTTCCACATGGGTGACAGGCAATGGCGGTGGATTTATTAAATGCTGCAATTTGCACATTCCAATTGAAAGCTTTTTTTTTCTTACTTTTTTGTGGTATAATCATCAGTACTTAAGTATCCACTCGAACATTGTTATTAGTACTTACCAAATTTGTGACAGATTTTTTTTAAAAATTTATTCTTGTTATTTTTTTTTTTATTTTGATTGTATAATGAGAGTCAACCATTTTTTATCTTTTAGTCCACTTCACCTGCATGATATATAACTCGAATTCAATACTTCTTATTTTTAACCAAAAAAGAAAAAACTATTAAACCATTTAGTAGTTGACATTTATCTTTGTCACGTAGATATGGTCAAATTATTGGTATGTAAATCTCTACCAAAGTAAATGAAGATTATGTTAAAGTGTTGGAACTTGTTACATGTTAGACAACGTTTTTCTTAGCATATGGGGAAGACAAAAAGTAATATAATTATAATATTATATAATATTATAAATTTATAAACTAATATATTATTATATAATTAATTTTTTAATTAAAAATTTTATTTATAATATTTTATAAATTAATTTAATATTTTATTACGATTAATTTATAATTCAATGTGTTGATATAATTATAGTATTATTGATCTAAATAAGAATATCAATATTTTGAATTATGTATTCCAAAGCTTAAATTTAATTTTAAAATAAGTTTACAAAAGGGTAATTCATTACAAATTACAAGTTGTGTGGTCAATATAACTATATTATTGCGAATCAATAAAGCGGGAATACTCTATTGATAATATTAACAACAAATGCTTGTAGTGTGAAGTTATGGTACTTTTTTTTTTTCGAAAAAGGCAAGCTTTTCCATTGCATGTAAACCACATATCCACAATAATCACCCAGGCATACCCGGGGTTAACATCATCTAAATACTCAAAATTGCAATTTCAAAAAGTAAGAAATTCTCCTATTAATGTTATCTACTGTACTTGACTTATCCTTAAACAAACGCATATTTTGCTCCTGCCATATGTAGTATATTGAGGCAGCTAGTGCAGCACGGAGCTTCCTCTTAATAATAGCTCTTCCTCTTCCATGTC